GTGCAAGTCTAAACTCGGCCGTGCTCGAACTGCCATCTTCTCCGCTGCCACATTCTCCTGCAAGGGCAGCATACCAGCCGCCCGGCATTCTGCCCATGAACCCACAAAGCGTTTGAGTCTGCACCAATGTCTTCTGCGACGGCCTCGCATTCTTCTTCTTTCGCCCAAGACTCCGACCATGGAGTCATGAGGCCCGGCCCCAACGTTGGTAACTGACTTGGAAGTTGACGGCTTGACACTCATACACACCGTCTACCCCCACCTGCGTAGAATTCCATCGTCCCGGCCGCTACTTGGCCATTCGCAACTGACATCGGCCTGGCTGCTCTAGCCTCCGACGCGCCCGCAACTCTGCGCCCGCGCCCTCCGAAAAAGCATCCTCTCCGCCTGAAAAGTGCCGCTGTATCGTTCCCCGGACCTTCCGCACCCGCACCTCCAACCCGCCGATCAGTTGCGACGAAGAAGGAAGAGCTGTGACAACTTACAAGCCCAGCCGCGGATCAGGCGCCTGCAGTCACGCTGTTGGCCCGGTTCATCGTCTTTGGGGGCGGCGGCGACGGCAAAAAGCCTATTTTCAGTTTGGTGCCTGAAGCCTCACTGGACGGTTGGCTGCCGGACGACTCGTGGGCCACCATTTCGGTCGCCCAGCCCATGCCTCCCTTTTTTTTACGCTTTACTCATTGGTTGGTTCGTCAGCGGTTGAGTTCTTCGTTGCACCATCTAGAAGACTCAGCCTCGGCTTCTTGACACCGTCATCCCAAGTACTCGATTCTCACTGGGTAATGGCTTCGGCGCAATACGCCTACCTGAGACACGTGTCGTGTTCCAGCCCATGCCTAATTTTCCTGTGTCTGCGCGGCTATATTCTTTGGTTTTGTTACCCAGTTTTTCAGTGTTCTAAATTACTCCTATCGAAAGCGATAGTAGCAATAACAACGACGAGGATAGAAGCCGACGACGACGACGTTAGAGTGATTAGAGTATAGCCACAGGAAAAGTAGTCGCTTTAGCACAGGAAAAAAAAAATAGGCGGTCTCACTGGACGGCCACCTCGCTCATTGCTACCCGCTGATAGCACGACGCCAGATATCGCCATCGCCCATGCTGTCCACTGGTGAGGCAAAAGTCCCGTGGTGGCCTGTCAACTGGGCATCCGGGTTCCCCAATCCCCATTCCCCATTCATCCCATATCGGTACTCAAACTGTCCACGTGCCCCTGCTAAGAGGGGCAGGGTATCCCGACGGGGCCACTTTGCCTGCCTAGCGGCACGGACAGGTGAGAGATAAGCTGCGATGCGTATGTGCGATTGGACCTGTGACGATGCGGTTGATTGACAACTTGACAACAGTAACCTCATCTCGGGAGCGAAGGGTCAGGATTCCGAGACCGCGGAACACGTTGAAGAGTGTTTTCTTGCTATTCCCCTTCGCACTCCGGAGCGCTCAGTCGAGGCCACTGGCAGTTGCGTTCGCCCATCTCCGTTTCAGCCCTGTCGATCCGTTAAAGGCCCCCCAACCCCAGACCCTTCCTATGCTGTCCATCTAAATGACCCCTTTGAAGTCTGCCCACCTTGACAGACCATTCCGTGCTTGAGCCCCATCGTCGGATGTCTTGGTCGTGAGAACGTCAGCTATTCTCCATCAAAGAGTCTCAAAAAGCTTGCCGCCCGTCGCTCGGCCCTTCCGGTCCCTCTCCGTCATGGACACGCCTACGATGCGACCCCGTTCGAGAACCGTTCGCAATTGATGAACACTCATCTGCGTCTATTTCTCTCACCTCGCAGACTGACGACAACCGGTGTCCGTGCTCGTCCAAGCGGGAACCGCAGAGGGTCACTTAATTAAAAACCTTCAGACCGTGCCCAACTATGGATGGCACATCTGATCAAACGTCTCATACTGTGGTTCCTGCATACAATTTTCCGCCCTCTCGTCTTTGACAACCAGAAACTTGCGTTCAAGTTTCGAAAAAGGGAGAAGGATTTCGCTCTGCCGTCCCCCCTCATCGAACATCGGCTCGTCAGTGTTCCTTTTCGCATTCGCTCATGCAAGTGTGATACAAACGAGTCCAAGCCAAGTAGTCTGCAGTCAAACGGCGAAGCTGCATGTACGTTCGCAACGGAGTTACCATCTAGTCGTAGTCGCGTGCTTCAGTCGGTCCTCAGTCCCCGGGGGAACACTCGCAGGCACTCACGCATACACACACATACGATCCGCGCTTCAATGTTGTCTGCAAGACGTAGGGCTGTTGACGAAGATTGTCCCCTGCGCGCCGTTGAGATTAATCCACCGCCGCTTGGGGTTTCGGGACGTGTTCGTCTGAGACGGAGCTCGGCGCGGCATCCGAGAGGGGACCCTGCTTCAGATGATGCTGCCCCTCAAACCCCCTCAACCCAGGGGCAGGGACCTTCTTTTTCACCATTTGCTGTTGTATTTTTTTAATCCTATTAGCCGAGAAAGATGAATCAGGCGGAAAAGGCTTGTTCCCTACGAACGGTGGAGCGATTAGGGCTGCAAAGCCTGGGGTCGTTCCGTGAATAAAAAAGACTCGAATCAACATGCGGCAAAAACCGACAGGTTGGTTATGCTTCCCTTAGAGTTTGAGAAGAAGCCATCTACCCCGGACGCTGGCATGTCAACTTAAAGACTCAACCTGTGACTTGGGACTTCTTTGTCCGGTTCAGATCGTTGGAAAAAGTCATATCTTTTTAGAGTTGTTGACAGATTAATCCGGATACATTGAGGCTGGTTGCCGCGGCTTGCCTGTGTGTGGACCAAGGTCCCGAGTTGTTGAACCAGGGAACATGGGTTCTGAGCGTGGTTCGCATCGCATCGTCAATGCTCACCGGCATGATCCGGACTCAAGAGGTTGATCTTCAATAGCTGAAAAAAGGGCATCCTGGCAACCCTTTTGAAAAAGTCTGGTGGTTGATTGTATTGAATAGATACATTAGGGGGCCTTCAGACGGGCTCTTCAACTCGGATGTCCAGACTTTGAAAATCTGGTTCTAGACGTTGTAGCACTCGGCATGCCCGAGCAGGGGTTTGTTGGTGATCTGCTGTGCGCTTGAAACTCAGGAGTTGCCTGCGTGTAACATTACCTGCCTTTTTTAGTATTGTCAGAAAATAGAGAAGGAGAAGAAAAAAGTCGCGCAGACTTAGAACAATACCCCTATTGACAGACACATTGTAAAAAGCAAAAGAGAAACTCCTCGACGGGGAATTGAACCCCGGTCCCCGGCGCATCGTTAGAATGACAAGCCGATATCCTCACCACTAGACTATCGAGGATGCTAATCCGATGTTGGACGTAGAAGCTTAGAATGGATATAACCCCTATGGTTCCCCCCCCACTTAGGTCGCTAAGTGAAGTAGGGAGGATAGTAAGAGAAGAGAAACCTTAAGCCCTTTCTAATAGATATAGTTAGCTATTAGCTATATTATTATTACTTTAGCTATTATTAATTTTTATTATTTATTATCTCTTCTCTTTATTTTTCTTTTGTTTTTCCCCTCCTTATCTCTCTTCTTTATCTCTCTTTAATATTACTTTTATTTTTTTCTATTATTATCTAACTAGCTAAATAATATACCTTATGACTCTAACTATAATAAACTTAATTCTTTAATAGAGATAGCTAATAAAGTAATAATAATAATAATACTAATAATACTAATAATAGATAGATTATATATATATATATATATATATATATATATATAGTAGATACTACCTAGCTAATAAAACTTATATAAAATACTGTTTATATCAAAATAAACATTATATTATTACTTTAGAAGGTGGAATATTTTAAAACTAGATTAAAAAGATAGATTCACCTTCCTCTAAAGCCCGCGTTATAATTATCAACAAGGCCTTAGATCTAATTCTATTCATAGAAGCTCCTATACGTCTATACATCCACCTCTATATTCTTCCGTCTCAGTGCTGTTGCCGATGTCATCAGAATAAAACCATTTTACAACTATCAACTTGAAAGCACCAGCCCACCCTGGCCTAGATACGTGAATCCTTTCAGACGAGAATCCATTGTCTTGCTCAGCGACCCCCTGCATTGACTGCATGTGTACTGCCAATCTGGGAGGAGGATGCTACACACCTTGCTAAGCATCACGTCCAGAAAATACAAGTTACGCCTCCTAAAGTCGCTAGCGGTCTATCTACATCGATCACTACAGAAGTAATTCAAAGCATCATTTCATCGTTCCATCCCTGTAGTCGTGGTTGCTTTGGTCATTGTTATTGACGCGTCCTTTTCGTCTTCGTTTATAGCCGCCGTTGTCATTGCAATTATCCTGCATCACTTTTCGCTTAAATAACAAAATTCTTCGGGAGAATTGCGTCTCCTAAACCCAGGTCCTCTTGTGACTAGTCCCTAACGATATAATGCCACGTGCCGGATCTTGTGCCCTGACCATGATGCTTGATGACGGTGCCTCGAGAGAGCCCAAATGCCACCGAGAACAACGACAGGTCACCAAACAAGACTGTTTCGAAGCCGGGATCGAAGGCGCCACTGAAGTCATGGTCTACAAAGGTCCTTGGGGACGACGTTCACTGCGTCGATCGTTGGCACTTCCAAGAGGGACGAGCACATTGCGACGCAAACGCTCGGTAAATCTTACGAATCTGCTATATTCTCTGTATAGCGTACCGTAATAATCAAAAATCATACACCCGTATCCTCATGCATCCGAGACTCCAAGAAAAACGTCGAGGCCAACAGTATGGCCTGATGTATGCCAGGGCATGAGAGGTCTATCTCTATTTACGCCTCATTGTATCCTTTCTGCTTTTTCTGTAATGCCTTCACTAACCGTGTTCATAGACTTGTATGCACACCGGGTTTCCGTACTGAAATGCGTACCCGGTAGTCTTTCCGTACCCTCGCCTGACTCGTTAAGAACGGCGGACCGCTAGTCTAAGACGACCCCTTTCGTTGGAAAAACCTAGAGCAAACCCCAAGTCGCCGCGGCAACTAGGACCGAGGGCGCTGGTCCGCCTCGTCATCAAGATGGATCTCCGCTGCCTCAGTGGAAGCAACATCGTTATCGACAGCGGGGACCGAGATGACCTTGTCCTTGTTTTGACGCTCCCATGCCGCATTTTGGATCTCAGAGAGTCCGATTTGCGCGCTAAAATCCGGTGGCGGTGGCGCTTCCTCATGAGTCGCATCACCGTATTCTCCAAGGGTCTCGTCAAACTGCATGTCCGTATCGTTGTCCCTGTCGTCCGAAGAGTCAGGCTGGGCGTCATCGCTGGCGTAGCCTTCCATTCCGAGAGAGTTGGCCGGGCCATCATTGGAGCTCAGGGAGTTCCAGTTCCATGTCTGTGTTGCCTGAAATCCGTTCGATCCAGCAAAGTTGTCAGTCATACCGATGCCTTCGTCTTCGATGCTGTTCTGGATATTCTCACTGCCAACGTTCGTGCTCGAGCTGCCTTCATAAGGCGGGAGCTCATCCTCTGTCTCGCGCGACACCGTGGCCATTGTGCTACTAGCCAAACCACGATTTCCGCGCGGGAGAGTTGCTTCGGCTCCGGTCCCAAGTCTCGACGATCCAGTTAGGGAGGAGCCCCCGGCGAGACGTTGATCTTCCCCCGAGCTGGTGTCTCCCTCTTCGTCATCTTCGCCGCCCTTGTCGAACTTGTCGAAGATTTCCTTGAAACGGGGACCGCCCAAGGGGCCGTCTGAGCGACGGCGGTAGAACAGCAGGTACGCTGCCTTGGTGATAACGCTCTCAGGTGATGTCTTGCTAACCGACGTGTCTGGGATCTCATTAGCTTGGCTGCGTTTTAGCTGCAGGGCCTCACGTACCGTTATAGTTGTACCACTGTCCATCGACAAAGTTACGTCCGTACGCCGTATAGTGACCGCCACCGAGACCGCCGAAATGGTCATCGACGGCAATGAGGTCGTAGATCTCTTCCTTACCCGTCTCTTGGCAGAGGACGCGCTTGTGCAGATCGAGGCCTTCGATGGGGAAGTCGACCAGAACGTCGAGCTTGTCGCGGCGCCAACCTGAGCTGCTAAATCTCTTCAGGTGGACAATGAGGATGTCTGGCGTTTTCCAAAGGTCGAACTTTTTGCTGGCACGTCGGTGCTCTTTGCAGCGTGGGCAGTACCACATGTCCTGCTCAGACAACACTTCGGCCTTCTCGAACTCGTCCAAGCATTCCTCAAGAGTAATTCCTTGCTTCTTACGAGCCATGCGCGTCTTACGCTTCTGCTCGAGAGCTTGGTCCTCAAGTTTCTCAGGGTCGACAAAGGTCCTCTGGCCGCGAGTGTCGTCGTCACGATCTTCCTTACCAAAGACCATGTCCCAAGACTCTTCGGTCCAGTCGACGATGATGCCCTCGCCAAGACGGATGAGGGGGCCACCGGGAGCCTCGTCCAATGGCGATGGCTGGGGCGCAACGTCGACAATGTTGTAGGACTGCTCCTTGCTGTTCCGCAGCTCCTTATTGCGACGCTTGTTGCCCTTCTTGCCGTATGTCTTGTTGCCCTTGTTGAACTTGCGGCGGGCTCCACCAACCTTATGGTTGCCTCTACCACGAGCGGCCTGCTTCAAGTCAGATGTGGACCCTGTGGTTAGAAACTGGGGAACGCTTACCTTGGGAGGGAGTCTGACCGGCTCATCCTCCTCCGACTCGTCTGCCATACGGGTCTGCTCCTCGACCGACTGTGGAGATTGCTCCTCGCTCACACTCTCATGTTCACTGTCAGCGGTTTGGGAAGAACCAGGGCTGTTGGCCTCGGGTGTGGTCTCGGGTGCCCTAGAAGCCAGAGTGCGGAAGTTCTTGTTGTCGTCAACTGAGTTCCAACCGGTTGGCAGCGGTGAGTCACCATTCTCGTTGAAAAAGCTGAGCTCAAACAGGTTCTGCAGCTGAGGCGGAAGGTAGGCGCTGCTGTTGACCCATTTGGGGCGAGTGGTGTTAAACTGCTTAAGAGCTTTTCGGCCATTCGACTTTTGCCCGCCTGCGACCATGGAGACATCAACTAAGTCATCTTCTCCTTCTACTGAGTGGGAGACAATCTTACTGTCCCCCGATGAATCAGCGTCGGACTGGGACGTGATGACCATGTCGGCATCAGTGCTGTCGTCGCTCTCGGAGAATTCAGACCAAGTAGAGAATGTCGCCACCTTTTCCAAGACCTTGCGGCGAATGGCGTCCTCGTTACGAGACTGTTCTGGTTAGGACGAGACAGTTGATAACACAGGGTGTCCACTTACTTCCTCGGGAGTGAGAACGATGAAGTGGGGAGGGGAGGCCACATCGTCTGACCTCATGCGGTAGGTGTTGTTGTTATTGCGCTTGCGGTGAAGGACAGTGACGACCATTCGCTCGGTGAGAGGATCGACATAGGGCTCGTCGCTTATGTCTAGCATAGAAGTAGGCGCACCCATCTTCTTTTGCTTGGGAGGATAGTTGGTTGGTGCTGCCTCAAGCTCGTGGAAAGTGGGGATGTCGTTGGACTGGATCTCATCCGACACGTCGCTGCTATCGTCGTAGACCTTGAAGAATTTGCCCTTAAACTCTTCAGCCCCTAGTAACAGCTCCACAGGCACGCCAGTCTTATCCGAGATGGCCTTCTTGAGCCCCTCAATGGCGCTGTGCTTTGACAGCTCAACCTCGATCTGTACAGGCGCATCGTTCAATGGCAGGAATTTGACAGTTCTACTCCACATGTCCTCCACGGGAAGCGGCAAGGTCAGATTGCTAAAGGGGTCGAAGGTGATGGAGATCTTGTCGCAGACGGGGCACTTCAGCGTCGACTTGTACAGTCCGGTGAAGAGGTCCGCGACAACTGAGTCGTCACGCTTGCGCGTGATGTCCCATACCTCTTCCGCCATCTTTCGGATGGCCGCCTCATCGCCAATCATCTCATCGGTCGAGTCAGGCTTCTCAATGTACGGCTTCTTCTTGATGCGGCTCAGGTCTTCCTGCAGGGCGTCGAGGAGAAATCCGAGGAACTCTTGAGTGTCCTGCTGACCCCAGCCCTGGAACGTGCTGCGCGCGCGGCCGACAGTGTTCTTGAAGTCGCGCGGGCTTACGGCGCCTCTTGACTCCGCGTAGATCTCCTTGAGAAGATTGCCGTATGCCATTGCGACCTGTCCCTTGTAGCCAAGCGCGTTGGCCTTGTTGATTTCCTTCTCGTACTCGCCGGTCAGGAAGTACTTTGTCAATTCCTCAACGCTGCGGACGCACTGAAGAGCCGAGTTCATGTAGCACGTGTTACCGAGATTTTGGAGACCAACGGCGCCAAGACCTCTGCCAGGCTTCTTCTGCTGGGTCCGACCTCTGGTTACGGGCCCCGGAGCAGGGCTGTTTCGGCTACTGGTGCCTTTCCCTTGTGTAGTCAAGCTCGAGGCGCTACCTCGTGAGGCAATGACCTTGTCGTTGGCGGTTTTCTTACCCAGCCCGGACACCCAGGAGTTGGCACTGTACTGTTCATCAACGACAAGGATGCAGTCCTGCGATAGCCCGTAGAAAGACACGGGAGACCGGCCGTTATAGTTTTCGTCGCCTGTTCTATCATCCGCCGTAACCTGAACGCGCTCAGTGTCTCTAGCAAGAGCCGTGAGGACAGTCGGTCTAATCAGCAGCTTTTGCCAGGGGTCTGCCGAGGTTTCGGCCTGCTTGTCGGGGTTGGGTGACTCGGGCGGCGTCAACGTAGACGGGGGCGACAGGTCCTGCACAACTGGCGTGGTCGGCTTCTGCAAGACTTGCCACACGCGGATCTTGCGGTCAAGGGGAATACCCATGAGCTGCTTCAACTCCTTGTAAAACGCATTATACGGCATGGTGGAGCTTCGGGCCAAGACGAACGGGCCCTTGGCCTTGAGCTCGTCATCAATCTGGAAGGGACTGGCAGGCGATTCGACCCTGTGAACCGTGAAAATGGGAGGATGAAGCTCGAACATGATGTTGGCAGGGCTTGCAGCGTCGGTCGCCGTGTTGATAGCAAGACGAACAATGGGCTTTTGGCCTTCCCTCACACCATACCACTCAGACACAAGCGTCCAGGCATCTTCGGGAAAGAGTTCGCATTCCTCCAAGCTGACGCCAGGCTTCATCCGCACAAAGTCATCGCCATTGGGTTGCTTCAGAACCTCGAGGATCACGCCCGAGTTGTCGACAGGTCCCAGTGGCTCGTCTGACGCCTCTTTCTTTGCAAATTTAGGGTCTCCACCTAGCGCTAGCGCCTTTTCCACCCATGATCTCGACACAATGTAAGCAACAGTGCCTGCTTTGGGGGGCTCGTCGTTGAAAGCCTTGAGAAGTGTCTGAATCGTCTTGATCTGCTCTGGCAGCGGAGGAATATCTGCAACAGTTTGGTCAGCAAACGGCGATCCGCAAGCGTGTCTGAATGATGGATCTTACCCTTGTCTTTGGGTGCACCGGAGTGACCGTTCGCAGCGTTGTCGGGCAAATCGACGCTCATGGCGCGGGGCAGGTGTGTTTTGGAGGTAGACGGGGCACTCTCGGGGTCCTCGGTGGTTTGGGCCGGGGTCATCTCGACGTCCTCCTTCATCTCAACGTCGGGGTCGGGGTCCATGCTGGAAGCACGTCGTTTCAAGGGCGAGGAAGAACGTTGGTGAGGGTTGGCATCACTGGTCATGATGGCTCGGCGGGAGACGTTGAAAGGAGACCGGCTTCTGGCTGAGTGGAATGTCAGCGCAGTGCCAGTCTCGGGGCCGGAGATTTCCCCTCGATCGCTGTCGATGGAGAGATCGGCGACACCGCAGGGCGACGAGGCGGTGCTGGATGCGTAGTCGGCGGAGACAAGAGAGCCGGTTTGCAGACGCGCAGGCAAGCTAGAAGCCGGGACAGAGTCGCTGCGAGCGTAGGTGGGAGTCGACCGGCCGTCGGTTGACGCAGCGGAGAAGGAGAAGGCCGGGTCGTCGTTTGGCTCGCACGACGGGAGGACGGTGTCGGCGGGGGAGGAAGTGCTGGTGCTAGGCACTTGGTCGTCGCGGGACTGGTTGCGGGAGAGCTTTCTCTTCTTTGAGGAAGACGTGGTGAAGGCGAGCTGCCTGTGCAGCTCCGGGATGGCGGCGGGGAAAATCCAAGTGTAGCGAAAGCAGATGGGAGAAGGCGTCTTGCATTAGTAGTGCAGTGCAGCCAGCCAGTCGTTCAAGCAGCAGGTCTGTTTGGCGGACGGCAGACAGACCCAGGGCAAAAGCACAGAACAGAAGAACGGGGGGGAAAAAGTAGAAGTCCTGGTCGACAGGGCGGTGGAAAACTACAGCTGAAGACCTCCAAGCGGACTGCGCATCGGGGCTTGTGGGGTGGGAGGAGAGAGAGAGTGTGTGTGTATGTGTGAGAGGGCGGAGGCGGAAGGACCGTACGGAATTGGATCCCACAAGGAAACGGCAGGAACTGGTCCAAGTCGTGAGTAAGGTACGGAAGGGCGTGGACGGTGGTGGACGTAGTGAGGTAAGGTAAGAGAAGGCGACGGGCAGGTATGTGTGTGTTTGAGTTGGGGGCAGATCAGATACAGATGTGCGCGCGTCTGCTTTGCGACCTGTGCTTGCGCCTTTCTACATTGCCAAGTGCTGTGGAAAGAAGGCACTGTAGAGGACGGCTATTGGAGGCGCTTCCAACACTGGACGTTTGCTGCTGCACTACTGCCGGATGGTCTGTTGTCGTACAGTGCGTGCCAGGCAGGTTCCAGTAATAAGCCCAGGTCCTTGGTACCTAAGGTAGAATAATTGGGAGGAGCTGATGGCGGTTGCGGTACAGCTGATGCAGATTAGGCCGATTTCACAGACTGCCCAGCAGCGCTCTTGCTTGGAGGGGTCTAGGATTTTTTTTCTCTTAGGGGGTGACTTAGGCGAGGCGGCGCGTGGACTTGGACGGCGCGACTTAAAGCAAACGGTACGTATCTTGTGAGACGGTTGTCAGTGTCAGAGGAGGCCTTGAAGGTAAGAACCAACAACGTTGATTTTTGTTGTCGTTGTTGTACACTTGGATTCTCAAAGTGATCAGATATGAGAAAATAAAATGAGGAACCCCCCTGTGAGATGCCTCAATGAATCACTCCTTGTTGTTTTACTGCGCAGAATTGCAAAAGTTGAGGGACAGGTGCACTGAATGGCAGAAGAAAGAAGTGATGGAGGATGCCCTTCACTGCTAGGGGACTAAGTGGCCAGCCTCATAATTCAGAATTTTTTCCCAACCTACCCACCCACCCACCAGGCGAAGGAGAAAGGGAGGGGGGAAGCGCTTTAACAGGGAAGTGACGGTCAAGTGCACCAAAGTTGAAAAAAAATTCGAGAAAAAAAAAAAACTAGATGAAAAAAATCATAGAGAACTCTTTCAGGGAAAGACATGCATCCAATCAGTTGCCAATTGGGATTTCGTGCTGCACCAATGCAGCTTTACCCCACATCTGGGAGTGGGGAAAGAAGGAAAGGCCAACTGCCACTCCGCGAATTGTAGCTGCCTCTGCAAGCTCATCAGCGTACCCTCATCGCTGAAGCCGGTTTTTTTTTTTTCTTTTCTGTCTTGAGGAGAAAAAGAAGCGTGGTATTGGAGCGGGCACGGCGGGGAAGGAAGGGCTTTTCTAGACCCAGTACCCGGGCACCTCCAAGTCCGGCACTGGGCAATCCTGCATGGACCGAGCCGGGGGCTGCCTTGCGCTGCCCGGAGGTCACTACCGTGAGCCCTAGCCTTGTAATAAGTGTTGTTCCCATTGACCTGCTGACAGGACGACACGGAACCAGCTGATATTCGAGCAACTTCAGAGCATATCAGGCCGGTGATATCTCAAAGCTCATGTCGCTTGGAGAGGAACTTTCTCTGCGCTTCTCTGTGCCAAGTTCTTCTCTTCCTTTTCTTCTTTGGACTTTCAGGACCCGTCCCAAATCACTCCGTGCTGTACGTACACGTAAGGTAGACGCATCGGTCCATGGTCAGGGGTCCACCCACCGCTTCTTGTGGCTCCTTTCGTTCAGCTTTTCCAATACGGACGACGCTTCAGGTCCAACTCTCAGGAACGGTAGGACTGTTTATTCGGCAGAAACATGCCTATAGCAAGATGTTAACAAACATGGCCACTTGTCTCCTCCACCGTCCGTCAATTCCGACTTACCACGAGAGACATCGAGAAATATTCAGTGAAATCCGCGTCAAAGCGTCCCCACGGCCCCACATACCTCTTACCACGACCTCCCAGCTTGACGTCAGAGTCGGCCCCTGCCTCTTGTCGCCGACTTTGGAATTCTCGGCTGGAAAGCGGCAGGAGACCTTCATTCTGATAGGGCATTTCTTCATCTCATCCCAAGCCTCTCTTGACCGCCTATCTTCAAAACCCACAATGCAGACCACACACTTGGAGCGGGAAAAATAAAGTAAAACCAAAGCAGCAAGACTCTCTCTTGTCGACCCTCGGAAGTCAACCCGTGGTGTTGCCAATCAACTCGACACGTAACCAGCATTTCGCCACATGCCCTCCATTCTTGACTCGTGTGGACTTTGCACGTCACCCGACTGCTTGTCAGGCCGGACACACGGTTTCGCATTCTATTACTCGTAAAAGCATATGACATGCAGGTCTCTATTCTGCTTCTAACTACACAAACCCAGGTAGTCTTGTTGCTGTCCAACCCGCCATAGTGGCGGCTGTGGTACACGAATGCAGGCTGCTCAACTCTTGGGGCTCTATCCCAATTCCCGTCGTGAAGCCTCATAACGTCATGCCCCTCCCCCATCCTGACGATGGATGCGTGTAATAACCGATGCTCGAAACAACTGTTTTGGTGCCAGTACTCTTCTCCCCTCGACAAGACTCTGAGTCCGTTGTCCTTCTAGCAAGTGTTTCTTCTTGTAATCACCCCTGGTCTCAACGCCGCCTGTGTGTCTTGAACGACCATCTTCCACTCGCTACTCATAGCTTCGCATCCGTATCTTCGTATTCGCTCAGGTCTTTGGCTGGCCGGGCTCCCCGCGTCGCCTGCAGGCCCGCCCGGAAACTACGCACGTCTTTGATGGGGACTGGCTCCGGCGTGCTCGTCGCCTCGCCCTCTTCCTTCTTGACCCCATTCACCTTGGTTTCCGTCTCCGTCGACTTACCCGCCTGGGCATGAAGGTGGACTGAAAGCTTTGCGCGTGTAGCAGAGCCTGGCTTGATATACTGCTGGAAGAACTCAACCATGTCTGCCTTCGTGAGCAACTTGACATGGGCGGCATCTTCGTGGGCTAAAACAGGGGTCAGCATCCGTAATCCTCGACACACAAGAATGCCACTCACTCAGCTCAAAGTCGTAGTATTCACTGGCGATCTGGGCCCAGTGGCGGCTGCTCTCCTGGTCAAGGTTCTTAAGCTTTTCCAGACGCTTCACAATCAAACTTCGCTTGTGGCCCTCGAAATCGGTCTCGGACATGGAGTCCAGGTTGTTGGCGAACAGGTTGAGGAATGCTTCGATTCTCGACTCGAGGTATTCGGGCGTTCGCTCACTCTGAATGATGAACCGGAAGCCATAGGTTGTTGAGAAGCTTCGGACTCCACTAAAGACAACGTAGCCCAACTGCTCCTTGGTTCGGAGTTGGTCGAATGCCGGCTCATGGGTCATCTGGTCGAGGAGCATTGTCTTTGCCCGCGTCATGCGGTCGCTCTTATCCCCAACGTACAGCCACACCTCGATGCAGTGGTTGACGTTTGCTGGGTCCTTCAGCGTCTTCTTGTAAACGTAGTTTGATCCAGCGGGGAGAACAAGAGATCGAATGACGGGCCACTGAGGGCGTGGCAATTCACGGGGCTTCAGGATTGTCTCAATCATGTCAGTCAACTTGAGGGCATCCTCTTTGTACAGATTGCCGTGCACATAGCTTTCAATGTGCAATTGTGAAAGCATCTGCTTCTTGAACTGGCGGACGTCCTCAGCAGTGATGTTGGGCAGCTCAGCCAAAGACTCCTCAACAACGTAGTCACGCTCAGAGTTGAGCCAAGTTGTGTAGTCTGACACCTGGTGGAAGGGCTGCTGAAGCTCCCAGTTGTTGTATCCCCGGTTCAGGCGCTCCCTGATGATGTCGAATCTCTCATCCTTAATCTTGAGGTCGCGCATAGTGATGAGAACCTGCTCCAAGAGAACCGCCAACTTGTCGTTGTACCCACTGAGGTCTAGGAACAAGCCGCGGGCGTCAAGGGTGACACTGTACTGCAGACCGGCAAGCTCCGCATCATACGAGTAGGCCTCCAACGCATCCCTAACGAGGTCGGTAAACAGCCTAGCCTTGACAGCATTCTCAGCAGTCGAATATATGTTGGGGTTCCGGCAGCTGATGACGAGGTTCGCCTTGGGCACCCAGAATGTGTCATCTTTCTTGAACCACGTCCGAGCGATGCTGTCGTTTCGGACGACACGCGGCGCCACTGCCGGCTCCTTGACCTCCTTCTTCTCGACCTCAAGCTTGGTGGGAATGAAGTTGTTCTTGTGGGGGAGGTGAAGCTCTGCGAGCCGGTCGGAGGCGGAACTCGAGGCAGCCTTCTTGATCTCCGCCATGAAGTCGTCGGGAATCTTCTCGTGGCGGTACTCGGTGCCGTACCACTTCTCCTTCTGATCCCAGTCACCAGGGAACTTCTGCGACACGATGGTCAAACGGAAGTTATCAGGTCTCAAGCAAGCCAGTCCCTTGTCAATCAGTTGAGAGTCGAACTTTCGCAGCCGGCTGTATCCACTGAGAAGCCACTCGCGCGGGAGCGGCTTCTGCATGACGGCACTAGTCTTGCTGGTGAAGCGGCTTGCTGGCGTCTTTTGTTTAAACTTGAAGTCTACATCGGCCATGCCCTTCTGCTCATCAAAGATCCATTCTTGGGGCGGCGACTCCCGGAGAAGAGAGACGTATTGGAAGAAGATCTTGACGATCTCCTTGTAGTTCTTGAGGCCCTGTGGTTTGCGTCAGCATGTGAGGCCATAGTAAGATGGGTGAATTCCAAGCTCACCTCCTCGGTCAGGCGAATCTGGCAGTCAAAGATACCAGGGGTGCCCGGACAGACTGGGTATGCGCCAGCACTTAGACCGTTGGCCCAACCCTTCTCCTTGACATAGGCCATAATACTTCCAGGTCCCTCGTGGCCGATCAGGTGGCTGACGTATCGGCTGGGCTGCGACTCGAACATATTCTCCTCGTCGAGGAACGGGAAAAAGAGGTTCAGTTCGCGCGAGTCCATCACCGGCTTAGCGAACACCTGTACACCGAGCTCGCTTTCGCGGAAGGGCACCTCGGCCTCCCAGCGGTTCGGCACCAGATTCTTGTTGGGGACCCCAGCAAACAACTCTGCGACCCAGTCCTCCAAAACGTCCAAAGGCTCCCGTCCCAGAACCACCAACTTCATCCTATTCGCTGAGTAGTGCTTCTCGTGGAACTCCATAAACTTGGCCCGAACATTGACGCCCTTGGCCTCTGGCTGGGCCTTGAGAACCTCGAAGTTGCCGGTCGAAAAATGGCAGAAGGGGTGCTTGGGGTTGGAAAGGCTCTTCTCAAGCTGGTGCAGTCGCCATTGGTCGCTCTGCAGGTTCTTCTTGTTCTCGGAGTCGACGGCGCGCAACTCTCGGTCCAGGGTCGATTCGAGGAAGAGAGGCTCGATAAAGAACTGGGCGAAGCGGTCGAGCGCACCCTTGAAGGGGGAGGGGTTCGAGGCCGAGGGCTCCTGGTCGTTGGCAGGCTTTGCAGAGACATCAAAAAAGTAGTTGGTGGAGGTTGCTCCCGTGTATGCGTTTGAGCTGCCAGAGTTGGAGGCGAGGTACTGGGAGTATTCGTTTTCTACAGGGAACTTCTTGGTGCCCATGAACAGAAGCTGCGCAAACAATTGTCAGCCAAGGTAAGCGATTGCGACGGGGTTCCTTTGTGTGTGTGAAGAAGCGTACATGTTCCACGGCATGGGCCATGCCGGGCATATCCTCTTCGTCGCTGAAGTTTCCGACATTGACGTCAAGGGCGGCGCTGGCCTTGTCTGTCTCTGGATCGTGGACCAGCAGGGCCTCAAGCTTGTTGGACAAGCGAATGACACGGTAGGTTCTGTCGTCGAGCGAAGGGGTCTCGAGCTGATCCGTCACCCGCTCGATAGGCTGGGGCCTCGGCTCGCGAAGGGGGCCATCCAGGTCCCTGGGACCGCGGGCACTGGGCTCTCTGTCAGACATGTCGGCGGAGTTGTGCCTGAACCGTCGAGGGTGATTGACGGTGATGGCGGTAGGTGTTCGGTTCAGGGTGCTGGTTGTAGGATTAATATTTTTGGTACCGATCCTCGTGCAGCGGTGGCGGTAGATGCAGTTGAGTGGAAGGGAGTGTACGGCACGGGGCTGCAGCAGGACGGTTTGGGAGACTGCTGCTTGTCGCCTGGCACTTTGAAAGAAGACAAAAGCTCTGGGCGTGGGGTGGGGGAACGCCACTTTTGAAGGATAGGGGACGTCGGGGCGAACGTCGGCAGAGGCGGACGTGGTAAAGAGGGTAAGGTATGACAAGGAGCGGGTGAGGGTTGATTTGAAGAAGAGGAAAGGTGAGTGAGGCACGTAAGAGGTGGGTTCGCAGGTGGATGAGATGCAGCGCAACGAAGTCAGTCAGTCAGGCTGGAGCAAGCTGCGACAGGATTGAGAAAGCACCCGCAAGCCGCAGCGAAATGCAAGGCAAGGCAGATTGGAAAGGCGGGTGCAGTGTGAGTGGTTGGCTGAGGTGCCCGTAAGGTAAGGTAGTGTGCGAGTGTAAGTGTCAGCCGTGGGACGGACGGTGGAGGAAGACGAGGAAGCAGCCGGGAAGGTGCTTGGGTGCTCGTGCGGCGGCCGGGGTGCGCAGGTCGCAGGTCGCGGGTCGCGGGTCGCTGGGTAGGGGGGGGTGGGAGGAGGGGAGGAGAGCGGGTACGGGTACTGCAGTGAGGGAAGGGTCGTGGTTGCGGCTGGCTGCCGCTGCTGCTGTGTTGCTGTTGCTGGACTGGCCTGGGCCTGAGGTGAGATTGGGATTTGGGGACTGGACCTCAAGCAGGCGGCGGAGAGAGGGACGGCAAGGTATGGGGGAGGAAGGTCCGCACGGATAGGTTGAATGTTCCTTCCAACCCAAGGGACACTGCCTAGGTATCCGTAGTGTAAGGCAGGTACGTACGGTGCCTATGTAGTTACCTAGGCAAGTTAGGCAGGTAGGTACTTGCTTTGTTAATGATAATGATGATGATGATGATGATGATGTTTGTGCTGGGTATTGTTCAGTCAAGTACACACAGTCAAGCAGGTACGTATTTTGGCCGTGGAAGATGGAAACACATCTCGCGGCAGGAACAGTGGCACTGACTGGACATGACAAACTGGCAGGAGCAGTCCGGTCTGCTCTGCGCCTTGGTAGTAGTAGGTACTGACTCCTCCCATCGCACCGGCATCAGCAAGCACCTCAGCATCAAGCAGAAACAGAAGCCACGGCAGAAAGCAGGCAGAGCACCTGCGGCCAGGGCAGCTGCAACTGCAAGAGAACACCTCATGGAAAGAAGGGTCTGTGCTCGGCGTGGGGACGCAAGGGACGCTACCGCTGTGCGACCCAAGGGTACCAGCCAGACGGTCTCCAGAAACGATGGACGAAAGCGGATAGACGGGCTGCTGATCGCTGGAACGCTATTGCTCTGGCGAGGGTCCCTGTAGCCCGTAGGGGTGGCTCCAGGCCCTTCGGTGCTTCTCCCTTCATCCCTCCATCCGGATGCTGTCTTGCCTGTTTCCTGCGGCAGACCGTTCTCTCCCGTCCATCTTCATTCCTCTCAATGACTGGCCGGCAGATAGGAGGCTACAAGAATTGTATATAAAAAGAAATTAAAAATAAAAATAAAAATCTCGCCATCAGCAAAGCCAACAGCCGCCGTCAGAGGCCTGCGACGACGCCGAACACCGGATTTCAACATCCTGCCCACGCTGCTACTGCCGCCAGACTCGCGCTAATGTCGCCGCTGCGGCCCTACCGAGAAGACCGCACCACCACCGCGTGCCTCAAGGATTCTACTTGCCTTGTATGACTGATGTCAAGGGCGAGATGACGACGAGGTCTCTCTGAAACATACAGTGGCTCTCCTTCCGTGACGAGCCGTCTGCCGTCTGGCTGTGAACGTGGAGTTCGTCGTGACTATTGCCCTACTTAACCGCGACCGACGGTAGCAATATTCGCCCTACATACCATGGGCCCCCGGCAAGGTTGCAGATGCCACGACAACCACGAAAAAACATGCCTGCCTCACCGTTACCTTCCGTCTCCAGCTTCTTTCTTGAGGCTGGAGATGAGGCAATCCAACCGAAATGCCCAATTTGCATCCCGTCTCTCGCCTGTCCACGTCTAAACCCCCGCTGATGCCTGGGAGGGGGAGGGAAAGCGAGTCGCTTGCGAATCTTCAGACCCTCGATTTGACCGCCCCTTCCATCCCGCCTGGTGCGCTGTTATGGCGCCAGGATACCCCGACTTCCACAGCTCCACGTGGAAAGAGACCGGTTGTCAGGTTGAAACGCAGTGCGGTGCTGTATGCCATTGTGGCAGTTCGGGGCTGGTCGTTGAGTCGAAGAGGGGAGGGACAGGCTGGACGGCAAGTGAAAAATAACTGGGACCGCTACTTTTTTGGTGGTTATATCACCGGCTTATTATGTCAGAGAGCAGAGATCATTTGGGGGCCGGACCCGGCGCACCACGTTGATGTCAAAGATTCACACTCCCAAAGTCAGTCGGATGTGTTGCGGTCGGTCGTCGGAGGAGGAGAATGCATGCGAGTGGACGACACGGGGGACGGGCCCGGAGACGTACAAGGGCCCAGGAAACGACCAGCGCACATGTGCAGCATTGTGGTGGGTACAAGAGACCCCAAACAAGCCCAGGGCAAGGTACTTGGGAGTAATGGATACAGATCACTTGCACTCCCTTCAGATCTCGCTGTGCCGGCAGGTAGCCACGTTGACAAATCCCAATCCCCCGTTATGAAGGAACATCAATCCTGGGAGATGCCGCAACAGTGCCTGCTGCTGCTGCTCGGGCAGTTTACTCTGAAGGGGCAATGCCCTCTCCAATCTCGAATACCTTGGAGAGGGTCTTGTCTCGCTCCCGGATCTTCGCAATTGTGGGATGATAACACATTCAAAACCGCACGATATTTGATTGGACTTTTGGGTTTTGTCTGGCGCGGAGCGACGGGAGCGGACCGGCCTGGGGAAAGTTGGAAAGGATGGGCGGCAAGGGGGTTTCAAGAGAGAATGTTTGACGGCAGGGGCCTTTACACGCACACATTCACAAGTAACTGGTTTGGCTTGTCGGGCTGTCCCTTCCATCATCCTTGGCTGGGCTTGCCTCACCTGTACCTCAATGTCAATCGCGCTCTCGCTCGCCCATGGATCGCGTCCCTCTGGTCGTCTGGCAAGGAGCGGGGAATGGGAAGGCTATTAGACGTAGCGCGGGCTGGCCCGCCGTCCGCCGTCCAGATAGGCAACCCCAGTGCTTATTTGCCCTGTGATTTAAAGCACCCTATCATCCGGGTCCCCGATGTCTCAGGCATATTCTCTTGGCTCCGGTTGACGGCAAATTTCGCTGATGAGTTGTTATATCAATAAGATTGGCAATAGCTGATATAGATGATGGAGGGTATAAAATCCGGTGAGAGTCGTTGATTGTGTACTACTGACACGTTACACCCGAGCCGCCTCCCACCCCCATCGAAAGGAAAGCCTCACAGAACAACTTGATGCCCGGGGATCCGTCCACCCCTGCTTCCGCCCCGGATGAGCTGTTGGTGGAGAGGCAACGAAGATTGAGAAAAGGAAGAGAAACGTGTTGCAAGGCGGTGACAGGGGAGCCGAGTCGGGATGTTGCAGTTTCGGGTGGCAGCGCCGAAAAAAAAATAAAGCGAAGACAGGGGACTCTTTTTCAGTTGTTTCGGGAAGGGTAGAAGAAATTGAGGTCCCCCGGTCCGTTTCTAATTTATTCCCGGGAATCTGGTTGCGAGCAAGTAAGTAAAAGAGAGAATGGGAGGGTAAGAAAAAGAAAGAAAGCTCCGACTTTGGCTTGCTGGCCGACGACCTATGAACTATGAATTTGAGGAAAGGCGGACGTGGGAGTCAACTGCTGAGAAAAGCGTCAAGTTTGAGAAGGCAAACCGAAACTTACACATCCATATACATACACACGCATACACGCGCACACAAAAAATGGAGCGTAGTCATTTGATGCCAAGCATATCTAAAAATGTGTTTGCCTGTCAACCACAAAAGAACGGCCTGCGCTGACTTGCCTGAACCCCGCCCAATAGAGATGACGAAAACTTGAGACGAGACGGGTTGCCAGCTTTGCCGTCAAAGCCATCCTTACCTTCCACCCACTTCCAATGCTTGCGCACTACTCATGTACAACGCCGCTCGGGGAGACAATCGTTTCTCTCGATGTCATTCGCTTCACCTGTTGAGGCAATCCGGCAGATCACGCCGATGCCCTCGTGCATGGGCTGGCGGCCGGTGTGCTGATGTTCGCAGTGGACGAACCTAGCCTGCCACGCTACTCTGATGCTTCACATTAGCATCACAATCCGGCTCAAATCGAGCCCAGTAGCAACAAGGAGGCCGAGAGCCTTCGATCACGACCCCATGTGCCCATCTGCTTACATCTTGGCTCACTGAATGACTGGCTGCTGCTCAAAGCAACAGGCTACGCATGTTTACTATTTTAGCACCGCAGTGCGGATCCTCATCCCTGGGTTCCGGCGACTCGGCTTGGATCCGTCTGGCGGGATGCCATGCTTCTCTCATGCACCGTCCAACACACTTGCCTGCCCTGCGGGCCAGCTCCATCGAGAGAGGAGAAAATGCCTTTTGCTTGCCTCCATGTCATCTCGTTGAGGCCTAGAGCGAGATGATCGTCGTCTCGTCGCTGCATTCCTGTGAGATGTTACTGGAGCAGAAGCTGACGAGACAACTTTCTGCCCCCACATTCCGGGGTCTCTGACCGAGGTCATTGGATGCCTCTTTTTCGATATCGACCTTTGTGCGGCCTCGGACAATCTTGACGAAGAAGTCTGTCAGCAAGGTGTATCTCCCCGGCGGCCGATTTCCGCTATATGAGTCTCCCCGAAGCCAAGACGGTGTCGATATCTGCCGCAGATGACAGCTCTCATCTCGGATGTCTTGGCCATGCAGTAGCAGCAGTC